GTCGTCAGGGTTTGAACCCTTTCCCTGCAGGTTGGGGTTGGTTGTTGCAAGCCAACTTGACTGTAGGCTTTGTGTTGTTATAATTGTACCAGTAATTTATTTATAGGTTTCTTATGTTTAATGCTTTATAAAATTTCTTAACTTTACAAACCCTAGCCGTCTCACTCCCATTTCATTTCAGATCTCAAACACCTCTCTGTTCCGTCCGCTGCTTCCTCTTTGCCTTTGCTTCCTCTCTTTCTCTCTCTCTCTCTCTCTCCCCCTTCCTCTCCCTCTCCTTCCTCTCTTCCTCCAAATCACTCTCTCTCCAGTCTTCTCCTGTCCTCCTCGCGAATTCCTTCTTCCAAACCATGATTTTCCCTCGCCCTTTTTGGGATCCGACGAAAAGAGGAATTGAAAGAGCTTGCGACGATCATGGCGATATCGCTGCAACAAAGGTTGTGGTTTTATTTATTTGTCAGTTCATAGGTTTTTAATTGTATGGTTACTCATTTGAAATTTATGTAATTTAAGGTGAAAAATTTTGTATTTTTCTCTGAATATGTTTTGGAATTTTCTAGATCTATTGTGGACTTGACTATGAATTTGAACGTGGGCACTGGGCATGCGCTATTGAAGTCCGATTATGGTATTTAGAACAACCCAATTGCTTTTTTTTTTTTCGATTTGCATTGATCAGTTAATTTGTTGAGTTATTTCATGATTTTGTAAATTTTAAAGTTTTTGAATTTTGAATCCTGGAGATGTACATTTCCTTGAAGAATATATGTTTATGTATTTGCTTAACTTTTGAAAATTTGAATTCGTTCTGCTTGATCACAAGTAGTTGAATTACTTGAATATATTCAGGATTTTGAGGCTCTCAATTCTCTGATATATGAGAACTGAGAGGTTGATAGGTAGGTTCCTTCCATTTACATCATTTAAAAATAAAAATAAAAAACCGAAAAAAAACCAAAACCGAACCAGAAAAAACCGAAACCGAAAAAAACCAAACCAAACCGAACCGAAATTTCGGTTCGGTTTAGATTTTGGCAAAAAATCGAACCGTTTTGAACCGAACCGAACCCTAGTTTGTTGTGGTTTCAGAATTTTCAGTCATGTTCACTTTTCTCTAGGGACTAAAAAAAAAACTTTGTCAAAAAATCCAAAGACTGTAAGTGTGCAAGAAAATTAAAGAGGGGAAATTTGAGAAAATGATTATGAGAGCCTTCTACAAGAATTAAATTAGGCTTTCAATGAAAGCATCAATTTGTAGTAGCAAAAATATGTCGTTTCAGTCTACAAATTTGTACCTACAAAACAATTAAACACTTTTCTCAAAGACCAAAACCACGTTCTTAAGGTTTTTTTTTTTTTTTTTTTTTTTTGAGAGGGTGGCGGTTTGGCCAATGGATCTCCAATGCTTTAGTTAGTTTCTCTGAAAGTTGCATAGGGCAGCCACATGTGCAGGGTTTGTCATGTCATGTGTCAACATCTCATTAGCTAAGATGTGTCATTTACTGGATGGAGGAAATAATTATTTCGAAGAAATTATTGAATAAATAATATTTTAGAGTTATCGTGCAGAATCGTTGATTGGATTTGATTGTGATTCCTTTTGGATTTGATTGTGATTCTTTACTTGATTTAGTTGATCTTCAAAAAGGAAGGTATAAAGATAAGGATTTGATTATTAATCTTATCTTCAATATTTTTGACCTTTCTCCTTGCCATGGCAACGGAGCTTCAAGAGATTATAGCCACCAGCAGCTCAGGTCTTCAAGAATGCTAAACTACGCATGGAATCTAATGAGGAAATCTTTGTCATTCGTAAATAAAAATTCTCATGTCAGTTCCAAAAAATTTCATGGTAATTTTTTTCTCCACAAAAGTCTCTCATTTGAGTAGTCTAAAATCAACAAAACAAATTAATTATGTTACATAATCGATAACCCACTGCTTCGACCTGTTCCTTTTTTTGCATTTTCAAATATATTGTATAGGTAGCTAGCTAGCTCTGTTCATTCTCTGTTTGTTGGAGAGCCAGACTGGAGGGTTTAAATTTGAGAATTAGAGTAGGGGTGAGTTTTGAAAATCGAAAAAAAGGGATCGAACACTAAATCAAAATTGAAAAATTGAAAACTGAAAAAAACCGAACCCAAAAAAGGAAAACCAAACGAACCGAATTTTATTGGTTCGGTTTCGATGTTAGAGGTTTAGAAACCAAACCAAACCGAACCGAACCGAACCGAACTGAATCTCTTTACACTTAAAATGATGCCCTTTTATGCTTAGTATTTAAGCCTAAGCCTATAAGCTTGATCTTAGTATTCTTCTTAAATAATAAATAAAATAAAAACCAAATCTTAACTTTCTTCTTGAAAGCCTAGCTGGTATCTTCTTCTTAGTGCCAAACTTTTAACTCTTTAGCATTAATTGAATATGTTTTCTAATGCTTTGAACCTTTATATTTACAAGGACATGATAACCTTCTTTGCCATGAGATGGGATGGTTTATAGGGTTTAGTGGCATAGAGGAGATGACATCACATATTCACAAATTGGCATCGTATGATTTCATAACTCCAATCTTGTGTTCTCATGTGCACCAAATACCACCATGGTTCACCAAAAATATTTACAAAAAATGCCACCATGTGGCTTTGAAATTTGTTGAAACTATTTAACTTCCTCTAATGTTTTCTACTAAAAGTCCCTATTTGATTGACGTATTGTTTGGATCCAAAATTACATCAGTCCGTGTAATTAAGGTCGTTGGATGAGTATAGCTCTCAACCATTGGATAGGAAAGTTAAGATAATTTTATTATAGTTAAAGGATAATATTATGGTTTTTATCATAATAATTATATTTTAATATGAATTATCTTGACATATTTTTAAATGGGATAGATAGGATGCGGATTATATCCCCAAACAAGCGGTACAGTTCAAATTGATTTGGGATGTCTGGCTTGTGGTTGTGGTGGCAGATTGACAAGTAGTAAGAAATGAATTTAAAATAAATTTGAAATTCATTAAATGGGGATCAGGATACATGGATGGGTGATGGAATTATAATGAGATAAGAAAGCCTAGGTAGGCTAGGCTTTTGGTCATAGGATAAGCATGGATAGGCTTTTATTATCTTTGAAAAGTCAACCATATAAAGATAGGCTTTAGCCTATGCCACAGATTAGTTATTCTATGAGTTTGAGTTTCAATTAGTTTCTACGAAATTATCAGGCCGTGCCAAGCAAAAGTATGGATGCTATAAATACAGAATCGCGGGCAACATTTGAGGGACCCCTCCAATTCAACACATAAATTTCCCTGCACAAAGCTTCTCAACAACCTTTGAGATTTTATCATCTTCCCGTTTCTTTTGTCAACACATCTTCAGCTTGGAAAAACAGCATTGTAAGGGCAACATGTGACATTTTCAGTTTGGATAAACAGCACTGGAGCCGTAGAATCAGCCGATCAAGGAGCACCTTCAGTTTGAATAAACACCACTGCTTTGAGACCGACTGCTTATGTATCCAAGTCTCGATCGACAAGGACTTTCGAGTTCCTATTGGTAGTGGTCATCTCATCAGCCTTCTCGGCGAAATGAGGTGTTACAGATTACTAGGCTCGACACATTGAAATCCGAGTTGTTTTATGATTACAGTTTGGACTTTCAAGTTCCTGAAGATAGGCTTTAGCCTATGCCACAGATCAATCATTTTATGAGTTTGAGTTTCAGTCGATTTCTACAAAATTATCAGGCTGTGCCAAGAAAAAGTATAGATGCTATAAATACAGAATTGCAGGCAACATTTGAAGGACCCCTCCAATTCAACACATAAATTGCCCTGAGCAAAGCTTGTCAACAACCTTTGAGATTTTATCCTCTTCCCCTTTCTTTCGTCAACACATCTTCAGTTTGAATAAACAGCACTGTGAGGGCAACGGGTGACATCTTCAATTTAGATAAATAGCACTGGAGTCGTAGAATCAACCGATCAAGAAGTGTGCACCTTCAATTTGGATAAATAGCACTGCTTTGAGACCGACTGGTTATTTATCCAAGTCTTGGTCGACAAGGACTTTCGAGTTCCTGTTGGTAATGGTCATCTTATCAACCTTCTCGGCGAAGTGAGGTGTTACAGATTACTAGGCTTGACACATTGAAAGTCGAGTTGTTTTATGATTAGATAATCGCAAGTGAGTTTCAGAGTTCGGCATTCCAACAGCCGAACCACATTTACTATCAAGACATATATCTCTTTCGAGTACTTGTGTCCATATAGCTTGGTGCCAATTCGGCATGCTTATACTCTTACGAATATAATCGCCGTAACCGAACTAGGCGTCGACGATTTGTGAACTTCACAGAACTAGCAGCCTTGTCTTCAGGTTCTTGAACCCAAAGGTCGAGACATGTTCCTTCCTCGGCTACAATCGCAGGATCAAGAAGTCAGCAACTCGCTCAACGCAACATCAACACATTTTACTCCCTGGTCGAGCTCGGCCGTTGAGTTGGCATGCCCCGCACACAACCGAATGATGTAATTAGCTTATTAATTACTTGGTATGCGCACCACGTAGGCTTGGTAGTTTTTAAGATCAACACATATACACAAGACTAGCTCAGTGTATAGTGAAGACAAGACAAAAGTCATTGTTATGTTGCTATCAAGACTTAAGAGGAATGCTAAGGTCAGTTGTTTAAGTGTGCGATATTAATAAAATAAGAAAAATCAAAACTGAACCGAAAAAAATCGAACAAAAAAAAAAAAAAACAAAAGAAATCGAACTGAACCTAACAGAATTTTCGGTCCGATTTTGGTTTTGGCAAAAAACCGAACTGAATGAAACCGAAATCACTTGTAAATTAGAGAGTCAAAAAAGGGCAGGTTTGTAAATGTACAAGACAAAGTGGGTACTTTTTGTTAAATTTGAAAGTGTGAGGGTTTTGTTTTATTATTTAGACTTGCAAATATCGAGTATTTTGGGCTAAATTACCCTATTCCTTCCTCCTCTGGCTTTTGCCTCTCTTTCCTTTTAGGGTTTGGTTTTCTTCAGGTTTCCTCCTCCACCGGCAAGCCCTCTCCCAATCCAACCAGAATTCCTTCTCCTCTAGCCACAAAACCAATTGGGAATCCCACAAAATAGAGGATCCTCTCTCTTTGCCCCCAAAACCATCACAAAGTGTCGTCGTGTTACATCAACAATGAATATAATCTCATCGGCTTCCGTCGTCTCCGTCGTCGTCACCTTTGAGATTGAGAATCTTCGCGTCCTCGGTCCCGGCTTGAATCCTTTGGCTCCAAACTACTGCATGGCCAATCATTCTCGCTAAGTCTCTCTTTCTCTTTCTCTCGCCCTTTTCTTCCTAAATATTGTTCTTCCGGTACTTTTGTTTTTTTTTTCCTACTTTTTTCCGCTGTCATCTTTCCTACAATTCATGTAAATCTTGGGTTCTGGGATTTGAATTCTGGGGTGAGAGTTGTTGTTGTAGTTGCGTAAAAGTGGGCTTGGTTTTTCTTTGTTGGTATCAAATCGTGCGTTTTTGGGTTGTGGAAGAAATTGAAACCTTGCCCCTAGAGGCGGAGGTAATGGGTACGCTCAGGCGGAGCTTGTCGCGGCGGCGGTCGTTTAGGTCCGGTGTGGATATGGATGATAGAGGATGGACTATGCTGCACATTGGTTGTCGAAAGGGTGATCTTGGACAGGTAAATTCTTGGTCTCATTGTATTATTCATGTTGTAGTTGTTGAGAATGTTGCCAAATGCTTGGTTATAAAGATAGAATAGCATCCGGTGAAATCGATTAGGTTTGGATGGTGTAAAATCTGGTTAAAACTCGAAACTTTCATTAGCCCTGCAAATCGAGTTTAATGCGTTATTGAACAGAACCTGCCAAAACTAATCTTCTAGACAATAGGGATGATAAAGTCCGGTGTCGCATAATTCTTTTCTGTTCTAAATTATTTGTCTGGATGATAAATTAGGTCTCTGAAAATTTGTGACAGTCAAGGATTTTTACATGCTTTGCAAATCTAACTGGACATGGACTTTAGCTGCATTACTTGTATGTTATTACTAATTAAAGATTTATGTGTGTGCTATGATAGCTGGAGCGCGAACGTGTTCTGTTTTTAGACTGAGTACTTGTAATTTATTTGTGAAGGGTCCTTTAGGGTATTTCAAATGAGTTTCTGGATTTGAATTTTGAGTATAAATTGCATAATTGTCTTTAGATAACGACTCTAAATTGTCTTAGAGTTCTAGATTTCTACTTTAAATTGACTTCCAGTTTATGAAATTAATGGAACTGTAAATTGACTTTCAGATTGCTACTCTAAATCATGAAATTGATAAAATAACTTGTTAGAGACTTGTGTATTCAATGTTACTCCCTAGTCCCTGTAAAGTGCATCACCTCTTTGTTCAACCTTTCATCGTCTTACAGTGTTTTTATATATTGTTTTGGCTTTTACTTATATAACGAGTACAAAAGCTACTTGTTTTGTGTTATTGGGTTATTTTTCTGAAAAACCTTCTAAGCACGATTACTTAGGAGAGAAAGTACAGGTCTCTTTTGACTTTGTTGACAAAAAATATGACTCAATGGTAACTTTAAGTGGCTACAAGGAAATGAAATTAAAAATTAGCACCCTGGTCAAAAAGTACTGTCTATTTTTAAATTAATATCAAATACAAGCTTTGCATTTTCTTGTACTTTTTGTTACATGTTGTGCCCCAACTATTTTGTTTCTTTAAAAAAATTAGTCACTAATCATTTGAAATTTTTCTGTATTTTCTTTCTTTTGGAAGGTGAGGCGGCTTCTTGATGAGGGAATGGATGTGAATGCTGCTGCTTGGGGTCGCAAATCAAAAGGGGTTACCCCTCTCCACCTAGCTGCTGAGGGTGGCCATTTAGATGTTATGGATGAATTACTTGAGCGTGGAGCTAACATTGATGCCAGAACTAAGGGTGCTTGTGGCTGTAAGTAGCATTTTACAGCATCAGTCTCCCTTTCTTTTCCTCTTGATTTTATATATTTTAAAGTTTTTATGTTTTAGTTGAGTAGATGAAGAAATATAAATAGTTAAGATATTCCCTGATGTGTTCTGCTTCCTTTATTTGTTGAAACAGGGACTCCGCTTCACAGTGCAGCCAAAGAGAGGAGGAGGGAAGCAGTGAAATTTCTGGTAGAAAATGGAGCATTCTTGCCAGATGACATGTATGATTGTAGGTTTAACCCTCCACTCCATTACTGCCCTGGTCTTGAGTGGGCTTATGAGGAGATGAAGCGTCTTCAGCTAGAAAGTGCATCGTCAGGGGAGAGCTCGTGCAGCTCTGAAAGCTAAGTGTTGCTGCGGTATTGTCACAATTGGTTCGGTGATTGGTCTTGTTATATCTATGTAAATATATAGCGCGCACAGATAAATAAGATGCAATATGCCTCTGTGTCACCATCTTGTGTTTGTTTGGTTGCTGCTGTCTTGCGTGAAGGATGTTCAGGTGCTTTGTTATGATGGTTCTTATAAAAGTTTGTGTTTTCGAACTTACTGTGGGTACTATGATGTTCGTCAGGGGAGTGCTCCGGTAGCTTTGGAAGCTAGTGATCGTTTGGACTTGTCGCATTCAGGTTGGGGATTGGTTTGCTTATATATATTATCTGTATATGCCGGTGCTGCTCATAGAAGAATCTCATGGCTTCTGTGTCACCATTTTATGTATGTTTGGTTCCTTATGTTTTGTATCCGAGATGTTCGAGTGTATTGTATGATTGGTACCTTCAACAATACTGTTGTATGATAATAATAATGATGCCAACCTGTACCTTTCTTCTTTCTTTGAAACTATGATGCGCGTATGTTTGTTTAACTTTGTGGAGGAGGAAGTCAGATTTAGTTCTTCTGGTCTATTGACCTGGATATGACTTCATCAATGTGGCTGCCATGAGTGCAGGTTCATTTGAGTATTTTTGCTCACCTCAATGGGGCAATGATGCTCATTGCACACTGCCTTGTATATTATTGTTAGATGAGTTTAAATATTGAGATTTGTATGGTAAATAGATTAAACTGAACTCATCTAGTGGTAATTATTGAGGTGGTCGAGCAAAAATATTTTCGGTTCATTTTGTGGATGGTTCTAGTTTGCGTCTGATTCAATTGGTCTAAATAAACGATAGAAATTTTATTAGGTTTGAACAAACGATTACATCATGGGCTAAAGTATCCCTCCCTCGAAACAAAAGAAGTCACTAAATGTGTTGCCTTATTACAAACACGTGGAGCAAAAAAATTTCTATTGACCTCAAATGCATTTGCAAACACTGAATGTCAAATAACAAAACCTTCAAGCAAAGCGTCATGTTGAATTTTGAACCATTGATCATGCCCACAGGACATTTAAAATCTGATTCCACCTGAACCTCTAAAAAGCCTTTCTCTACGCAAACCAAATGAGCCGCCCTTATCGCTTCAGCCTCCGCAGTTATACTTGATTCGCAGGGGAAGTTACCAAGGGCAACGGCGCCCTTAAAGATGCCTGCAAAGTCCCTTGACACCCATCCAAAGCCACCTTTCCTAGTCGCCTTTCGCCACGCTCCATCACAGTTCACCTTGCTTGTGCGAAAAGGTGGTCGCTGCCTCAACAGATAGGGCTAGACGCTTCAACCTGAATTGGACGCCGCACTTCATCCACCGAACCTCTTGCCTTGGTTTCATATCTTACTTCAGCCATGGTATTAGGAATAGGAAAATGATACACACTTTTGTTTAACTCTCGCACATTTATGTTTAATTATGTTCGTTTTCATGCGCTTTATTCAATTTGACGACAGAAAATAAAGAGAAATGTGAGAAAAGCTAAAAAAAAGTGTGCAATCACATTCCTTAAGAATACCCATGAAGAATGTAGACAATACATAAAGCATGATAGTGCCCAACTAAAAACTAATCAAGAACTTAGCTCCTTCCTCCTAATCTGCAACGTCAAATTGTTATAGTAATCCAATATGTACATGTTCAAGAAAATGTTTCTGTTTTTAAAGGTATTTCATGATACATTAATGATAAACTAATTATCCTCTCTATGCAAACATCGAGTCAAACGGTATGCTAAGTCAAACCAGAGTCCAGGCCCTCCAATATGCCTATGTGGGAGTTTGAAGCCAAATTGAGTATTCCAAACATTTGCTTGCCTTGAATGCCTTCTACTAAACCAACTCCATGAAGTTTATTATAGTTTTATCAACAAATGGTCTTTGAAATTGGGACTTCTCAGTTTGGTCATTGAAATTGAAAATCGCTTAAGTCTTCTCAAATACAACCCATAATTATTTTTTGGCGTGCCCAAAAATCGAGCACATACTCTATATGTCATTATATAAGTGGGAGGACACTTCAAAAAAAACTTTCTCTACTTATATAATTACATATGCGTACCATTCCGTATTCCGAGAACATTAAAAATCCTCTTCATACTTATTGCTGCCCTTCCTCCCTTTTCACTTTTGAATTTACCATGATTATTTGTTGCTCTCCCACTACACCACACCGCACACGTCCTATACTCTTGGTCTTGGACCGCATTTATTTTACACATGAACATATTCGTCGGCCTTCTTTTAGAGAGGTTTTTTGATGTATAAGACACATAGTTCGATACATCAAATATAATAATTTAATTAATTAAAAATTTGAACAAAATTTTTTTAACCAATTATATTATGATATTTGATAAATTAAGTTATATTTCCGGTACACTAAAAAAATTTTCTGAAGGACATCGGCCCAACAGCACCGCAACGGGGGCCTCTTCACACTTCTGAGCATCTCCATCCCATTAGTTAAATGATCACCTGAAAATAAAAGGACAGGAGAATTATTCCAATTCAGTCACCAAATCCTACATGAATTTGCTAACAACATCCATTACTCCTCCAAATTAAGTCATGAGGGTCCTTCACTTGAAAGCCCAACACAATATAGATAAACTGTGAGTGCTTCTTAGTGCTTGACTTGGACAGAAAGAAGACCTATCTTTTGTTGTTAACTGGGTCTGAAAGTAATAGTTTGAAGTAAGAAAATAAGCATGTTTTCTAGACTCCAAAACTTCAAAATGAATAATATAAACATCCTTTATTCTCTAAGAACCGTGTGTGGTATGAAAGTTTTAATTTAATACTATAAAATTTTAGTATTAGTTAAAATGATGAGTTTATTTAACATTCCATAAAAAAAAGCAGCTCTAAGATTCAGACTTTTCATTTGCTAGATAGGCTATGACCATTAAAAAGCATAAAATAGAATGATTAGTATTTCTAAGCTTAAAGAACTAAAACTCTCCTTATGCTAAAGTCCACCACAACCTTGTACTTGGCTCTGCTGTTGTGTGTTGGACTGATAACCTATGTTAACCGACAATTTATAAAACCCGTGCTATTCTGGACTTGAATCCAAAATGAAAATCCAGTCCATGATGCTATTTAATAGCATTAAACAATGACATGGGACTTGAATCCATTTTAATTATTCATAGTATATCCCATCCACCCTACCAAACGAGCTTTTCTTGATCGTTTTGGAGTGATAAAAGGCTTCCGTTGTTGCTCAAACACTAAAATTTTCAACCATGTTCTTGTTATATTATCAAATTGTTCATGACTTTGCCAAAGTATAATGTAGTACTGGAATCCAGTCATCATTCAAAGAAAGCAACTTTTTTAAATAATGGCACTTTATTGAGAGATTTCTTCATGTGACTCAAATACGAGTAGGTACATTAATTGTCATTCTATAAGTGAAGAGAAATTTAATACGTAATATAACAATCTGTGTTTTGGATACACTAAAAAAACTCTTCAACTCTGTTGAATTACAATCCATCCAAATCCGTTGAATTTTACATTTCTCTATTATTCTGAAAAGCATAGCTGGCTATAGTTGCATTGATATCTAAACATATCTGAACATCTCACACATGAACATTATCAAATTGTAAGGGCCAAAAATTGTATCCAGTGCTATTCCAATTGAGGAGTGATAATGAAACCTCAGTGCTATTCCAATTGAGTGATAATGAAACTATCTTAAGGTGAGATTTTTTGTCATTTACAGTTTAACATTAATATCTATGTTAATATTATAAATATTATGTTGAAAGCATGAAGTGATAGAAAAAAAAATTGTATCTAGTGCTATTCCAATTGAGGAATGCTAATGCGACTTTCTTAAAGTGAGATTTTTCGTAGAATTTCTCCATGTTTTTTATACAATATTATAATATTAGCATAGATATTAATGTTAAACTGTAGATGACAAAAAATATATATAGATAATCTCATTTTGAGAAAATCTTCTTAGTATTTTTCATTCCAATTTCCAACCTTGTTTTTTCAAAAGTAGACAAATTCTAACTTTCAGTAATTAATTGAATAATTCAATTGATATATGTCTCTCCTTTTCCTCCAGAGGATATTTTTCTCACAAAATAACCTGACCACTCTATTATCACAATTAAATAAATAAAACAACAAAATAAAAAGTTAAAAAAAAAATGATAAACTTAGCATCTATTTGTATTATTATTTGTACAAAAATGTTAATCTTACCACATATTTGTACCATCTCTAATAGAGACATGACTTACATGTGTTGATAGACCTTAACTCTATTAGAGAGATGATTCAAATGACAGTACAAAGGAAAAATTAGTTTCTGGTCTCTAGCTTCTAATGTTTATTGACTAAGACCTTATTAGTTTTTAGATTTTGATTAAAGTCCCTAGCATTAATATATTAATGAATTACATGTAAGTTACATAATTTTTATAAATAAATAAATAAATTAGTAATTGATTTAGAGTTTTAATACTCACACCTTTATTAAACTCCTAAATTAATTTTCAATTCAAACATTTCCCAAATAAAAAAATAAAATTAGGCTAAGTTTGTACCCATTAAATTTTTATAAAAAAATTCAATTTTTTAATCTTATATGTATTCATTCTTAAATTTACCAATTTGCTAAAAATGTGCCCTTTTTCAATTTAAAATGTACCCATTTTTTATATAAAATTTCATTCAATCTTTTCTCTAATCCATTTTTAAAATTTATATAGGTACATTCTATTTCATTGATTAGAGCAAAGGGCAAAACCAAGTACAAGGCTCCCCAAGGCTATAGCATAGAGAGAGTTTGATTCTTCAAGCTTAAAAATATTAATTTTTGGGTTAGTTTATGATTTTTAATTGTCATATTCCACTTAACAAATGAATTTTTTTTTATTAGTAAGGCTATTTTTAATAATAATAAGAGCTAGTAGATATTAAATAAACTTATTACTTTAACTGTAAATGGATCTTGTAAGCCTTATATGTATATTCTCATCTCTACCTAGCACGAGACCTTTTGGGAGCTCACTGGGTTCGGGTACCATCGGAACTCCAAAGTTAAGCGAGTTCGTGCGAGAGCAATCCCATAATGGGTGGATGTGAAGAATTCCTTTCTTCACGGAGAGTTACAAGAAGAAATGTATATGCAGCCTCCTCCAAGCTATATTGGCCTTAAAGGCAATGTCATGTGTAAATTGTACAAGGCAATATATGGATTCAAACAATCCCCGAAAGCTTGGTATGCCAAGCTTAGTTCAGTACTAGAGAAAGCTGGATTTGTTCGAAGTAATGTTGATTCCTCACTGTTTGTAAAAACTGGTACCAATGGGAAGTTGATGGTTCTCATCTACGTGGATGATCTCATCATCACAGGGGATAGTGCTGTTGAAATTGTGGCACTGAAACGTTTTTTACTTCAAACGTTTGCTATCAAAGATCTA